GGTGCACTCCTCAGATATGCGATAAAGATATTTCTATTGATAACTATTACGTATTCAGAGGTGACAGAAACCATGGCAGAGGAGGAGGATGCGCTATGTATATCAGGTCTGATATTAAGGCCACACAGTGCTTCTACCCAGAGCTCATCACAGATAATGACTCAGTCTGGGCTATTCTAAGGCTGTCTCACTCCATTTCCTATCTTATAGGTTGCATCTATCATCCCCCATGTTCAGCTGTTGAAGGTGGTATGAAACTTGCTAGCACTTTCGCTTACGCCACTTCACTACCTCACACGGCTAAAATTATATGTGGGGACTTTAATATGCCTGAAGTAGTCTGGCAACCACTTTCCTCACCAAAACGGTATCATGAATTTTTTAACATAATAGAAACAAAAGACTGGCAACAACACGTACAGCATCCTACCAGGCTATCTAAGATTTTAGATTTAGTTTTCACTAATGGTATCATCCCCACTACCCTTCGAGTAGGTAAAGAGTTTCCTGGTAGCGACCACAGAGTAGTGTTAGGTACATTCAATATTTGCACTAGCATGAGTGCGACAATAAGTGCCAACAAAGTATTACTCAGGGGTTACAGACACGCTCAGTGGGATGACCTGAAACCATACCTACGCACCCTAGACTGGGGACCATACTTTACATGCAGCTCGGCTATAGAGGCAAACAACTTACTCTACGAGAACCTAGGATTTGCACATGACTTCATCGCTCCAGCAAGACTTGTGAAAACGAGGCCTAAACAGCCTGACTTCATCCCCGTAAAGATTCGAAACCGACTACGTAAGCATGCTAGGCAATTCTACAGATGTAGTGACTTTTCATCACTCATTACACTCAAGCAAACTTATGATTCATACAAATCTAATCAGTTATCTGAGTCCATCAAACTAGAACGCATCCTCCTTTCACGGCCCGATAATACAGAGGCATTGGTAAAACTAATCAAGTCACGAATTAACAACAACAGAATAAGTATCCCTAACTTATTACTAGATGGAGAAAAACTATACGAAGACCCACAGGAGATATGCGAGTTATTCAGCTCCCACTTTTCTAGCTACTTTACTAACGAAGAAACAGTAGGTAGTCTTGATGTTCCGATAATACCATATCACTTTTTGGGTAATATAACATTTACCCAACAAAAGATTTCCTCCGCTATAGCATCCCTCCGGACATCATATAAAGCTGGACCTGATGGAATTCCATCTATCTTGTTGAAAAGAGGTGGTGAGGACATACCCATTATCCTCCTAAAGTTTTTCAATCTGTCCTTAAATAATGGCAGTTACCCAGAGTGCTGGAAGCTGTCGTTTATAACCCCTAGGCACAAACTAGGACCAACTTCTAATATCGAAAACTACCGACCGATCAATATCACGTCAGTAGTTTCTAGAGTTATGGAAAAAGTTGTAGGGCAAGATATTGCTTCTTACCTCCACCTTCACAAATTGTTTACTCCAGCACAACACGGCTTCTTGAAAAGTCGATCATGCTCCACCTGCCTACTTGACTACTTTGATGATGTTACCGCTAAGCGAGATCATGGTTTGCTTGTCACAACCCTCTTCTTTGACTTCAAAAAAGCCTTTGATAAAGTCCCACACAAGAGACTAATCCTTAAGCTAAAGTCGTACGGGTTCCAGGACCCCTTGTTATCCTGGCTCATTTCTTTCTTGGAAGATCGTTCCCAAGTTGTGAAATTTGCAAATAATTACTCGTCACCCAGACCCATACGAAGTGGAGTAATTCAGGGTAGTGTACTAGGTCCATTGCTTTTCGTAATCTACATAAATAAATAAATAAATAAATTTATTCTCATAGTACAGTACATGAGGGACGCCAGTTTACAGGCATCATCAAATTGTTACAGAAATAGAACCATATAATTTAATCACAATTTACAGGCAGTAGCAAGATATGCTTTACATGTTCGCTGGAGATTATACATACACTTGATAAATGTTAATCCCAGTAGTATAAAACAGCCTTTTCACTTATATACAATCATTTCTGTGCAAAGTTGGAAAAATCTGCTAGATTGTCAGTGAGTGCAACACAACAGGAAATACAGGAGTATTGTCTTCGCATTAACAAAAAAACCAGGTCTTTGGTGGATGGATTATAAGTGCCTGGGAAAAAAATAAAGCTTGAAGTAAATATTCATACATAACTTTGTTGTGTGCAGAGTCCTCGAATTATAGTTCATTGATGTGTTATTTTGAAATCAGTGATGTGTTTATCTCATTTGATCTGCAATGTCATTGTTGGGAGTAAGTACATAAGCTTCGGACGCATTAATTAATGGATTTCTACTGCTTACGGGTATTTTCTTAGCGTTAGGAAGGTTTATGAGTTTCAGCTGTTCCGACAGGAGTTGAGAATATTAACTGCTCAGCAACATTATGGATATAAGTTCATCACATTATCTAAGGAAAGGTGGGTTGCAGTTGGTGAGGGATATATGGTGCCCAACGAGCGTTCATCTGTCCTTGTGATGTTGTGGTGAGTTATACCTTTTTCATGTTGTCGGTTTATGTCCATTTTATTCCACTTATTGTGTTGGGTAGTAGTTTTACAAACGAGATTTGTTGTCTGTTTGAGGATACGTATGTTAACCGTTAATGTTTTATCTAGAATTATAAATATAGGCAAAAAACAACAGGTGTAGTATTTAAGCTTATACATTAAATGGACCTATAATTTCGGAGGCTCTCAGATAGGAACTAGAACTACTATCGTTTGCAAACTCTTGTAGTTTGTCATTAAGCACCTTTTTGAAGGAGGCCAATGTACTTGCTTGACGCATTTCCATTGGCAGTTTATTCCATATCTGTGCATACCTAATCAAGTAAAACTTTTGCCTGGTGGCTGTTTTACATTGTTCGATAGCTACTGTACCCTTAGTGTGTCTTAGTTTGTAGCCATTGTCATCTGAAAGTCGAGTGCCATTAGTAGAGGTAAAAACTAAGTGGTTTAGAAGCTTATAGTAAAGTGTCAAGTTTAGTCTCAGGCGTCTTAGCCATAGTGTTTCTAGTCCTAGGGTATCACATCTAGTGGAGTAGTTCGTACCATTTTCAGTTCCGAGTAATTTTAACGTGAAGTACCTCTGCACTCCCTCGACTTTCAATTTGTCCTCTATGCGTATGCTACTATACATGAATGAACAGTAATCAAATAAAGGACGCACACAAACCTTGTACAACAGAATTCTAGACTCATTTCTGTAGAAGTTCCTGAGTAGAAAGCCGATAAGTCTGCGTGACTTTGACACTTGTTTGGAGATATGTTCAGAAAACGATAAGTTATGTGAATATTTCAGCCCTAGGTCTAGTACAGATTCCAGTCGTTGAAGTGCATGGCCTTGAATTGTCAGGTCAAGTTCTAAATTGTTGCAACCTATGCAGAGCCAGCCACATTTTTCGACATTAAATTGGAGTTGCCAGGTGTCACACCATCTATCCATTTTTTCTAATTCTTGCTGTATGGCGTTTACTGTTATTCCAAGATCTGTGTTCTTGCATTTATACGTCACTTTTAAGTCATCTGCATATAGTATTGGTTTACCTACACTAAAGCATTCACAGATACTGTTTATATATATTATGAATAAGAGTGGGCCTAATACACTTCCCTGGATTACACCACTACTTACTGGTTTAGGCCTTGAGATTATCGAGCCAACTTTCGTTGTCTGACTTCGGCCACAGAGAAATGATTTTATCCAGCTCAGGAGAGGATCACATATCCCTAGTGAGCATAACCTGCTGACTAGCAGATTATGGGGAACTCTGTCGAAGGCTTTTGTTATATCGAAATATAGCACAATTACTAGTTCTCTGTTGTCCCTACTTCGTGTAACTTCGTTGAAAAAGTCTATGTGACAGGTCACACATGATCTCTTTTTGAGAAATCCGTGTTGTGATGGATTGATAAGTTCATGTTCTAGTAAGTTGTCTGACACTTGGTCTTTAACCACTTTCTCCATTATTCGGGATATTACCGGTGTTATATTGATAGGTCTATAGTTGCATACACTGGTTTTGGCCCCTGCTTTGTGCTTAGGTAATATGTATGTGGTTTTCCACACTTCAGGATAAGTTCCAGTTTCCAACGAGAGAGTAAATATTCTAAGTAACAAGACTACCATTTCCGTGCTACCATTTTTGTACATGACAGATGGTATGTCATCTGTTCCAGTACTACCATTAGACTTCAAAGTCTTAATCGCTGAGTCTATATTTTGTATATTAAAGTCTATTCCGCCTAATTTGTGGTTGCTTTTGCAGGTCATTTGGAAATTTGGGGTCGGGTGCACTCTGGCGTCATTGCAAAACCACTCATTGAGGAGTTCACTTATAACCTGGGGATCATTGTATATTATACCCTTATGCTCCAAGCTGCTTACAGTATTGTCTTTACTGCTTTTTAGACGTCTCTGCAATATCCTACAAAGTTCCTGAGTTTTGGAGTTACCCACAAGCGCTTTATTTTCTTCAAGTTGTGACATCATTTTGTGTTTATCTTCAAGCCGTTTAAGAGTTTCATGTATTTGGTTTAACGCATTAAATTCCTTAAATACATGGTATTTCCTTTTCAATTTCTTTAGTTTTAGTCGCGTTTTGCGGTCTATAAATGGAGTTGGTGTCTTTAGAGCAGATTTTAGGGGCGCGATTATGTCTCTTGCTGAGCCAATTGTTTTGTAGAAAATATCGAGTGATACTTCTAAGTTATTGTTAATGAAGTATTCTTCCCAGTCAGAACTTCTCAGCAGATCTGATAGGAATTCCCAATCGGCATTCTTATAGTCCCTATACTGATAGTGCACCGGGGAATTTTTAGGTGTGTGTTTAGTTGTTAGTCGGAATGGTAGCGTGCAGTACAATATGTTGTGATCACTGTTATCAAGTTTATTTCCTACCTCTATCGAGATGGGCTCAATTTCATGACAAAGGATTAAGTCAAGAGTGTTTTCATTTCTTGTAGGGAGGCGTACGCACTGCTTCCATCCGCCTACGTCTATAGCTTGTAGTAGCTCGTCATGGATTCTAGGTCCTGTACAGGTATCCCAGTTTACTCCAGGTAAGTTGAAATCGCCACAGACTACTTTGTAGTCAAAGTCCAGCGTAGCTGCATGCTCTAGTATTTCTCCAATAGCTATATCAGTCATTTCAGGGCTATTAGGGGGTCTGTATATACATCCCACGAGAATTTTATTTTCGTTTGTGTGGATGCTTATCCACTTAGATTCAGGGAGTTTGTCAGTAGTTGGGTTATTGAAAGTATTGGAGTTAGTGGATTTAGAGGCATATATTAAGCAGCCGCCTCCTCTTTTGTCAACTCTATCGTTCCTATAGATGTCGTAGTTGTCTATTACTAGCTTTGAGTCAGGTATATCAGTAGTAAGCCAGGTTTCAGTCACCATTATTAGTGTTGGCCGTTCTATGTATGCCAGGCAGCGAAGCGATGTTATTTTGTTAAGGAGAGATCTAGCATTCAGGAGCATAATCGTTAGTAAACCAGAGTTATTGGGGGAGAGGTTAACATGGTTACTTGTTACTATTCCTACGTTATGTTTGGAGGGGCTCTGAGGTGAGACAGAGTCAGTGTGTGTACTATTTCCTGGATGAATTGTGCAGCGAGTGGGGCTATTGTTTGCTGCATCCGAAAATAATCCTGTTGCATGTTTTGACTTTTAGCATCCATGGGTGGGCATCTGCGTTCATTTACTGGTGATATATAGTTTGCTTGACCTAGGTACCCTGTGTTAAGATTACCTTGGTAGTTGTACCTCATGGGTCTTTCATAGTCGTATGCATATTGGCTCACATCACATGTGTGAGTGAAGTTATTGAGAGGGTCATGTGTCGATCTATACTCATTATGTTGCTGAGGTTCAACATAGATAGTGTGAGAGTTTGGACAAGAATATGCATTAATATGGTGCCTATACGAGCCCCGTTTAGTGCTCCTTATATCCTGATGATCCGTTCTACGTTGCATTCCCAAGTTATGTGCGTTGCTAGGCATATTACTCCTAGTTCGGGAAGGGGTGTTCTCATTCACATGATGGATGACTTTTTTGGGAATATGGTTTTTTACCCATGCATTGTCTTTTTTTAGACTGACATGTTGCTTATTAGACTTATTGAGAGGGAGGTATGTCGAAGTCTGGAGTGGGACTCTAGGCTTTGTCGTCTTTCTTGCAGTTTCTACTGCGGGACTCTCGGGCTTGCATCCAGATTGAGTGTGGTCTGCCAGTGGTTTCTGGTCAGACATAGTTTGTGAGTCAATATCAACCTCATGTATGTCAGCAGGTTTTCCAGATGTGCTCTCATGTACTTTAGGATTGCACCCAGTGACACTGCTCTTACTGAGTTTCGAGTCGCTTTTACTTGCCGATTTTTTTTCCAACACTATACAGGTGACTTGCTGTGCTTCAGTGTCCGTCGACACTTTAGCACTGATACCAGGTGTAGTTCTCGGTGTGGTCAACTTTCTATCGAAGGAGTTCTTGGTTGCTTGCCTTTGGTTAGTTGTTTTATCCGAGACTACTTTAATAGTCTTGAATTTAGTGGCAGTAGCCAGAAGATCTTCGGCCTTCTTAAATCGTTCAGCTATTATGTAGCTGTCGAACCTAAAGAGTATAGGACAGGGATGCTTTAGGTCTTTTTTACTTAGGCGAATGCACTGACAAGGTGCACTCAAGAGATTTGCAGCCTTCAGCAATGAGTGCTGGACCGACTTAATGGGCTCGCTATCTGGTACATTATACACTATAGCGTTTTGTTTCGAAGCCAGCCTTTTAACAACTTCGCTGGATAGAAAGTCAATGGCGTTTTCTAGCTCCTTCGCATTTTCTGAGTCAGTAGGCGTCATTCTAGAGGTCATATTAAAAAGCTTTAGGATTGTAGGATCCTGCAGTTCCTTTTTCATAAGTGAGATAGTTTCGGGTATACATTCAAATGAACTTAATTTCGTTTTTAATTCATCAATCTGTAGCTGCATCTCTTTAATAATGCATGTTAAGTAAGAGAGCTCTACTTTTTCAGACAGAACATCTTCCACCTGTATTACAGGGGTCAGAGTTATGTTCGAGTCTTTTCTGTTGGGTGAACTACTAATAATAAGGGGTGGTAATGTGTTATTAGACGAGCTGGTGCTATTTTCTAAATTACTGGTGTTCACACGAACACTCTTTTTAGAATTTCGGCCCATCGTTATTAAAGATTGATCAACAGTAAGCAATAAATGAATATAAACGAAAACACGTGCAAAAAGCGTCACCTGGTTCGAACGTACCGGGTATAATATACAGTGATCCCCAGGTTATAAGTGAACTCCTCAATGAGTGGTTTTGCAATGACGCCAGAGTGCACCCGACCCAAAATTTCCAAATGACCTGCAAAAGTAACCACAAATTAGGCGAAATAGACTTTAATATACAAAATATAGACTCAGCGATTAAGACTTTGAAGTCTAATGGTAGTACTGGAACAGATGACATACCATCTGTCATATACAAAAATGGTAGCACGGAAATGGTAGTCTTGTTACTTAGAATATTTACTCTCTCGTTGGAAACTGGAACTTATCCTGAAGTGTGGAAAACCACATACATATTACCTAAACACAAAGCAGGGGCCAAAACCAGTGTATGCAACTATAGACCTATCAATATAACACCGGTAATATCAGGAATAATGGAGAAAGTGGTTAAAGACCAAGTGTCGGACAACTTACTAGAACATGAACTTATCAATCCATCACAAGACGGATTTCTCAAAAAGAGATCATGTGTGACCTGTCAAATAGACTTTTTCAACGAAGTTACACGAAGTAGGGACAACAGAGAACTAGTAATTGTGCTATATTTCGATATAACAAAAGCCTTCGACAGAGTTCCCCATAATCTGCTAGTCAGCAGGTTATGCTCACTAGGGATATGTGATCCTCTCCTGAGCTGGATAAAATCATTTCTCTGTGACCGAAGTCAGACAACGAAAGTTGGCTCGATAATCTCAAGGCCTAAACCAGTAAGTAGTGGTGTAATCCAGGGAAGTGTATTAGGCCCACTCTTATTCATAATATATATAAACAGTATCTGTGAATGCTTTAGTGTAGGTAAACCAATACTATATGCAGATGACTTAAAAGTGACGTATAAATGCAAGAACACAGATCTTGGAATAACAGTAAACGCCATACAGCAAGAATTAGAAAAAATGGATAGATGGTGTGACACCTGGAAACTCCAATTTAATGTCGAAAAATGTGGCTGGCTCTGCATAGGTTGCAACAATTTAGAACTTGACCTGACAATTCAAGGCCATGCACTTCAACGACTGGAATCTGTACTGGACCTAGGGCTGAAATATTCACATAACTTATCATTTTCTGAACACATCTCCAAACAAGTGTCAAAGTCACGCAGACTTATCGGCTTTCTACTCAGGAACTTCTACAGAAATGAGTCTAGAATTCTGTTGTACAAGGTTTGTGTGCGTCCTTTATTTGATTACTGTTCATTCGTGTATAGTAGCATACGCATAGAGGACAAATTGAAAGTCGAGGGAGTGCAGAGGTACTTCACGTTAAAATTACTCGGAACCGGAAATGGTACGAACTACTCCACTAGATGTGATACCCTAGGACTAGAAACACTATGGCTAAGACGCCTGAGACTAAACTTGACACTTTACTATAAGCTTCTAAACCACTTAGTTTTTACCTCTACTAATGGCACTCGACTTTCAGATGACAATGGCTACAAACTAAGACACACTAAGGGTACAGTAGCTATCGAACAATGTAAAACAGTCACCAGGCAAAAGTTTTACTTGATTAGGTATGCACAGATATGGAATAAACTGCCAATGGAAATGCGTCAAGCAAGTACATTGGCCTCCTTCAAAAAGGTGCTTAATGACAAACTACAAGAGTTTGCAAACGATATTAGTTCTAGTTCCTATCTGAGAGCCTCCGAAATTATAGGTCCATTTAATGTATAAGCTTAAATACTACACCTGTTGCTTTTTGCCTATATTTATAATTCTAGATAAAACATTAACGGTTAAGATACGTATCCTCAAACAGACAAGAAATCCCGTTTGTAAAACTACTACCCAACACAATAAGTGGAATAAAATGGACATAAACCGACAACATGAAAAGGGTATAACTCACCACAACATCACATGGACAGATGTACGCTCAATGGGCACCATATATCCCTCACCAACTGCAACCCACCTTTCCTAAGACAATGTGATGAACTTATATCCATAATGTTGCTGAGCAGTTAATATTCTCAACTTCTGTCGGAACAGCTGAATTTCATAAACCTTCCTCACGCTAAGAAAATACCCACAAGCAGTAGAAATCCATTAATTAATGCGTCCGAAGCTTATGTACTTACTCCCAACAATGACATTGCAGATCAAATGAGATAAACACATCACTGATTTCAAAATAACACATCAATGAACTATAATTCGAGGACTCTGCACACAATGAAGTTATGTATGAAAATTGACTTCAAGCTTTATTTTTTTCCCAGGCACTTATAATCCGTCCGCCAAAGACCTGGTTTTTTTGTTAATGCGAAGACATTACTTCTGTAATTCCTGATGTGTTGCACTCACTGACAATCTAGCAGATTTTTCCAACTGTGCACAGCATTGATTGTATATAAGTGAAAATGCTGTTTTATACTACTGGGATTAACATTTATCAAGTGTATGTATAATCTCCAGAGAACGTGTAAAGCATATCTTGCTACTGCCTGTAAATTGTGATTGAACTATATGGTTCTATTTCTGTAACAATTTGATGATGCCTGTAAACTGGCGTCCCTCATGTACTGTACTATGAGAATAAATTTATTTATTTATTTATTTCCAAAGTCCCTATATTGATAGTGAACCGGGGAATTTTTAGGTGTGTTTTAAGTTGTTATTTGAAGAGGTAGTACAGTATGCTGTGATCACTGCTATCGAGTTTATCCCCCATCTCTATCTA